TCACATCCCAGAGAGCAGATGGAGTGGCAGCTGAGCACCACCAGGGCCGTCAGGAAGGAAAAGGGTAGGGCCATTGGGGATCTTGCAGATGCTGCTGGGCTGGCTGAGGGGGGTGATCTGGACCCTTGTCTCTGGATTCTATCAAGACCTTCCTTTGTGCATGTATCTTAAATAGGTAACTAATTTCCTGTTTCTGAATGTTCTTGCTTACTTTCTACTTCTGCTTTTGCTTTTTATTTTGAACTCTCCAAATGGGTGAGAGCAGCGTTTCTGAACCATTTTTTTTTTTCATTATTGCCTCTGCTTCACCTGCCCCCAGAGCCTTTTTAGATATGTTTTCCTAATTGGACCTGATGAAATTTTGATAACACAGATATAGTGTATATCTATTCAGGTACCCTATTTATATATCTACTTTATACAATGAAAAAGAAAGTGCAAAGTTTACTCTTTTTATTCAATGCAGGAGTAAGAAGGACTAAATAATTTAAGCTGTAAGTTAAATTTAAAAGCTATTGACATTTAGTTTAATTTTATATCTACGTTTGTGGAGCTACTTTTAATGTAATATATTTATTTACATAAATAGTAATGTGTCCAATTACATATTCAACTAAAATTTACATAAATACTTTATAATAATACCAATGTATAGATACACTTAAAACTCTAGCAAAACTGCTAAACACCATTGAAAATTTAAATTATTTTCATAACATGTAGTTTAGGTACTTAACTTTTAATTTCGTCTCAGATAATAATTTTTAACTTCTCTAGTTGCTAGACATCCATCTAGATATTGTCAACATTTTTTTAGTACTTGACATAATTATTCACGTGTTGAATAACTTTAGTAGAATTCAATAATAAAATATGAATTATTTGCATTTAATTCTCAAGGCCCACGTCACACTGAGGCTCAGACATAAGCAGCATCCACAGGACAGTCAATGGCAGCTCAGAAGTAAGAAGGCCGCCTCTCACAATGTGACTTTGAGAGCAAGCAGATGATGGAGGGAAAGTTCTCTGATGAGCCATCAAGTCATCATAGATTTGTAGCACTGATCTTGCATACAGTTTATCTTTCATGAACTAAAAGTCAGTGCCTCTTGTATGACACACACACACACACAAAACCTAAAGAGGAAGATGAATACTAAGGAATAAGATTTTGTTGGACAGGGCTGAGCTTTGGAGCACCACAAAGCATCGTAATATCTAAGATTTGTTCACACCCTTAGGAACTAATTTTTGCACCTTTGGGAGCAATATCATCCAGAACAACAATACAGGATTTAGACGACATTATCATTTCAAATCTTTCTTTGTATTTTTGCATTAAATTTCCTGTTTCCCAAAGGACTTTCAGAAGTTCCAATCCAAGTCTATTCTTTTCAAACAAAAGGAAACTCTTTTTGTAATGACTTTGGAAGTGGATAAATATTATTATCATGTAAAGAATTAACTTTTAGCTCCGATCCTGAACTCTTTTTATCTTGCATAAGAAGTTATGTTCTTTGGCGCTCTCCATTCCTGCTCTTGAAATGGTAGGGGTGAGACTGTCTTTGGCCAATGAGTTCCTTAGTAACTGGACTCTGTCTTATTCACTGTATTATCCTCGGCACCAGGCCCAGTGCAATCACT